TAGCCGTGTTTATACTCATTTTGAAGCTGTAAGCGCGCTAAATCCAAATTTCGAGGTTTCAAATTAATTAAGCAAAAAATTAAAAAGTTACCGCCTTTTTTATTTTCAGATAATAATAAAAATCTTACATCATGGGTCCAGCTGCAGCTCTAATAATGGCTTTTCCAGCCTGGTAGGTCAAATAACCGGCAGCCGCTCCGACGATCATATTTTTGAAGGTGTTTCCACGAGAATGGGATCCAACGCCAGACGTGGACCATCTGAAAATTTCAGATTTTGAAAATTTTCAAAAAAACTTTTTTTTTGAAAAAAACACAGGTTAACTTCAGGACACTTCAATTTTAGGGTTAAATTTTTAAAAAAGGACGGACAAGTACAGTAACCTGGATCCACCACGGGTACCGTAACCCGAGGATTGGTGGCCGTGTTTACGGCCGAATAGGCCGCCGAGGAATCCGCCTTTGCTGCAAAAACCGAGGTGTATCTAGAGAACTAAGCTAGATAGAAAAAAGTTCAAACTGCAAAGTTGAAGAAAATAAAATTTTACACATTTTTGAAGTTTGTAGTTTTTAATTAGGTAAATTGGTTCTAGAGATATAGAGGTTTTAAGTTCAAAAAAGGCCGAAAAAGTTTGAAGGCGCATATCTCAAAAACTAAAAATGCTATTCAAAAAAATTAAATTGGAAAATTGCTCAGCATAAACTTTTACGCATTTCTGTAGTTTGTAGTTTTTATGTAACCATAGTCGTTCCTGAGTTATGCGCCTTTAAAGATTGCTCCCGCTTTTAAGGGGTAGGAAGCTTTAAAAGCGCATATCTCAAGAACCAAAATAGCTATCAAAAAAAAATTAACTACAAATTGCTCAGCATAAAATTTTACACATTTTACTAGTTGAAAACTTCTTTTTACCTCTGCTAGTTCGTCAGATAAGGCTCACCTTCCAGAACTCATTCCAGTTCCGGCTCGATTATTGTTCCAATTTCCGGAACTTACTCCACTATTCCATACACCACCACTAGCCTGTTGCCTGGTATTCCCTAAATTCGGCCCTCTCGAATAATCATTTCTTTCGGCGCCGGAATTTGTCTTTGATCCTCCACCAAACCATCCTCCACCAGACGACGTCCGTGCTCCAGAAGACCCACGACTTCCGAATCCGCCGGAGGATCCACGGGATCCTCCACCACGGGATCCTCCGATTCCACCTCCACCACCACGACGGGATTCAATAGAAGGGATGAGAGAGAAGAGGATTAGAGATATTAGAAAGAATCCATAGGATTTACGATTTCGCATTATGTTGGTGGGAGAATTACCTGAAAAAAGTCAAATTTATCTCAAAAACCAAAAAATCTAGCGAAAACTTTTTAACTACGAAATTGCTCAGCATTAAATTTTACGTATTTTATTAGGTAACAAATTTTACCTAGTTTTTACGGGTTTGGAGATATGCGCGTCTCTTCAGACCTTATACTCTCTCGCTATTGCTTTTTATCTCAAAAATCCCCCCTGATGTCATTGGTGGAGGCTTTCTTTTCTTTTGAAATTCTTTCTTTTATTTTTTTGAAAGAATTTTATGACTCAGGTAGTTTTTTCTGGAATTTTTCTAGAATTTTCTATTGTTTAGAGACAAAAAAAAGCAAAAAAAAATTATTTTTCAATAAAAAAAAATAGTTTTTCATCTATTTTTTTTTCAATATAAGTCAGGTGACTGGAGCCCACCTATAGTGATAAGAAATCTTTTTTTTTGCCATTTTTGCTTTAAAATGTTTAAAAAATTCTCAATTTCTC